TTACTTCGACAATTGCTCAGTATGGAGTTACTCATCCTCTTAGAAGCCCATTAATAAATGTACACTGTTTTCATCTGTACTCGCTTGGTTCGAGTGAAAATAAAATGACTTCAGGTATTTGTACAACCTGACCTATTATGAGCAGGGAGGACCGATATTTTTCTACACGGGCAATGAGGGCTCAATAGAAGGATTCGCTGAGAACACGGTTAGTTGTTGCCATTTTTTTGTTATCATTGGCTGGTGACCGGGTGCAAACTCAATCACGATTCTGCTTTCAAATAGAATGTTCGCAGTTTTAAATCAATTATACTTCACTTGAAGGGAATAATGTGGGATCTGGCGAAACAGTTCAAAGCGGCGATTGTTTTCGCTGAACATCGTTACTATGGTACATCGATGCCATTTGGCAATTTGAGCTATACGGTGAGACCGCTTCATTAAACTTTTTCTGAATAGAGTATTCCCATGGGATAAGAAAATGCTTGAAGAAGAATAAGAACAAGTTGGTGCACGTTGATACTATTCATAACTTGATACTATCCATATGAAGAACAAGTTGACAGGATATGTGGTATAACACTCACTTATTTCAGAACGTCAAATATCTCGGTTATCTGGCTTCTACACAAGCTCTTGCTGACTACGCGAAACTAATTCCATATCTCAAAGAGAAAATTATCCATTGCCCTCCAGATACTCCGGTGATCTCTTTCGGTGGATCCTATGGAGGGATGCTAAGTGCCTGGTTCCGGATGAAATACCCTGATATTGTTACCGGGTATGTTATATGTTACTGTAATCGCTCATGATGCCGTCAGAATTTGATCGAACTCATTGTCGATACAGTTTTTTCAAACAGCTGAGTTCATTACTTCTTGAATGTTACAGGTGTGCTACAAACATGAAGCAATATAAAGCATTGTCTACAAAATTGATGAGCTTGGTGATAAAAGTTGATTTTCAGAGCAGCCATATGATGCATTTTAGGGCATGGGCCTCATCCGCACCGTTGATGTACTTCCCGGGTGGCGGTGTTGATCCGGGTGCTTTTGACCATAAGGTGAAGGAGGATTTCTTGAACGCTGGATGCAACGAAAGAACAATTACGAATGGATTTGCTGCGATAATGTCACTTTCAGAAACAGGTTTGTTGTGTTTAAATGAGGATATTATTGGAAGATAGTCCTGATTAAAACTGTTCAGCGCTTCTAAATTTATTTCATTCGACCAAAAAATTTCAGCAAGTGGACGTCAATATTTGAATGATCTATTTCACATTGAACAAAAGTCATTGCTGACCAAACCTGAAGATGGTGGTTATCTGATTGGATGGATTAATGAAGCTATAGTTTACATGGCTATGGTTGACTATCCGTATCCATCCAATTTCCTCGAACCTCTTCCTGGATGGCCAATTAATGTAAGTACATTTCCCAAGCCGTCGGAAAATTAGCCCAATGAGCAAAATAGAGCAAGCAGTTTGCCTGAAATCGTCCCAAATAATCAGCTTTATTAAAAAGTTCACCAGCAATCCCTATTGCTCCTTATCTCAACGTTATCCACTTCCAACGTGCGTCCACAATTGAATGACATGATAGTCGAGGAAGACCAAAATGATAACAATAAAGATTAGGAATCACTTTCAAAATGACTATTATTTCAGTACGTTTGCAAGAAATTCGCTGCAAAAGAAGTGACTGATGAGAAGAAAGCAGCCAAAGTCATGTATGAAATATCCAACGTTTACTATAATTTCACGGGTGCCATGAAGACGAGTTGTGTTAATTATAATAAATGTGGAGATACTGCAATGGCGAATCTTGGATCAGCGCTCGGATGGCCTTGGCAGGTTGGTTGAGACGGTTATATTGATACTCACAGAGTGACCGTACTAGAATGTGTTAAGGTGCACTGAAATTAATGCATAATTCAAAAGCTTTCAATACGTGCGTGCATGTCAAAGTTGAGTTCAAAGCAAGATGTCTTCTCGTTGTTGTGAACTAAACAGAGATATGCAGTCAATGGAATATATCGGGTTCACTGCACGTCGTCACCAATAAATATCACCGATTTACAGACTTGTACCGAGTTGGTGATTGCGATGTGCTCTGAAGGACCACCGAATGACTTCTTCTCGGATGATTGTAAAGCATATGGTGGTCCGGTGAATAGTCAGTACATGTTCTGCAATAATGAATTCGGGTCGATGGGATGGAGCGATGGATTCCTCCATCCGGATTCCTTAAAAATTCAATACGGTTTCAATTTTGCTGCTGCGAGTAATATTGTGTTCACGTGCGTTATTTGCGCTCGATTGCAGTTGCACAATCTCTTATAGTTATTTCTTAATTCAATGCTTATTCCCCCTTCTTTCGCAGTGGGTTAACAGTTATTGCATCAAATCAAAGCGATTTGCAACTTTTTTTCGAAAATAAGAAATAGTACAGTTGCACCAACTTTTGAAATTTTCATTAGTTTGTAAATAGTATTTGTGTCTTCGAGCGTCCCTAATGATGTGTTTCTCGAAATCATAGATTTTCCTCGGCTTGCACAATATGCAATTATTTTTCTCTATTTTCCGTAGAATCGTCTTTGCCTTATGCATTCACTAGAAGAACCAATATCTAGCACCTGGTGGAAAAATTATTATTAAACTTTGCTGCCTTAAAGACTAGTGTTTCTTTCAGAAATGGTGATGTTGACCCATGGTCTCCTGGCGGTGTTTATGAAAGGGCTCCAGGGATCGCACATGCTACTAAGCATGGTGTGTATACTTTCCTAATCGCTGGTTCAGCACATCATCTCGATCTGAGACAACCAAACACATGCGATCCACCCCCAGTCAGGAATGCACGATTCCAGGTACTATCCATTGAAAATTCTCCTATTCGATTTTTCCATAATATTGATCAATTCGGGAGCCAAAGGGTGCGTTGTGTGGATTAGGTATACGAACGGCCGTATTGTGCGATAAATCAGTAACGTGAGAACATTATTTTTATGCGTTTCATCTGCTTTTTTAAAATCAAAATATACCTGAAAGACATCTTATTTGAGATAACGAATATAATTGACTGCTGGGTGAATCCGAAGAAATGTCCCAAGCCACCTGTAGCAACGAAACTGCCGCCACTTGGTGAATTGTCATCGAAAGATTGTAAATCTGAATACTTCGCCTATCCTTGGGGCCAAAAGGTGAGCAGATTGAGCTTTTTCCCAAGTATATGAAATCATATCGATTGATGGTATGCTGTCTTTTCACTACCCACTTCTACTGATCCTTTTGTGATCATCATGTTTCCTTTACTTCTTATGTTAGTATCCAACCGATGTGAGCAATGAGGACATGCATTTCGTGCTCATTTTATTCTATTCCTCTGAATATTTGTTGCGATAATCAGTGTTTCTGAGGAACAAATTAACGATTGAAATGTGAATGAATTTTATGATTTGGACGATTTCTCTTTCAGGCTGCTCAATGATCGCTGCCGTTGTCGCACTGTTCATCTTCAACAAACAATAATATCACCGCAAATCGTCGTTTCCTTCAATAAGCTCGATGTTGTCTTCGTTATTATTGAGTAATAAAGTTATTTCACGATATCACTTATCATTGCATGTAATTATATCCACTCGTTCATTTCCCTCATATATCGATCTTTCGGAAGATACTAAATGTGGCTGGAATATGACAACAAAAATATCTAAAATAAGCTGCATGAAATCATGGTGCAATGTGGGTTTAACTTCTGAAATAGGTTCATTGTATTATGACCAGTGAGGTTCCTGTTCTGTGTAAGCCGTTCTGTTTCATTCCTGTTCTATTCAACCAAACTGATCCAGCAAAAGTCTGGAATTTGGGGTACAAAAATGGAATGGAACAGTTTTGGTGACGGAACAGAAAAGCTACACAATTTTGGGGATGAGTTGCAGAGTTGAACAAAGCAGTTTAGACGATTGCACAGAACGGTTTCATTGTATTTTTGAGAAGGCGATGAGCCCAGCTCTAAGAATGTTGAAATACTGCTGACAAGTGGAAAACCAGAATGGACCACTTTAATGTAGAAAAATACAGCTCGACAGTATTCATGATTTGAGCACTTGCTTTCGAACTTCTGGGCAATGGGAATCTGATCTTGTAGAATGCGGCAGTTCACCACTGCAATATTCGTGCAGCAAGAAAAGTCCGTTTATTTTCAAGCAAATGACTTCGCGAAGAAATTCGCTGCACCGTGGAGCAGGAGAACAATTTTTTATAGTTTTGTTCAAGTCGGATGGGTTAATTATGGTTGCGTATATGATCAGGTCGCCGCGAAAACTCCGCAGTTTCTTGGTGCAATCGAATTGGGAATATTTTTTTCGGTATGGAAATCATATATGCCGACTGCATAAAATGCTGAAGTACAGAGTTTCAGGTGGTTTTTAATGACGTATTGTCCTGAAACTCTGTGTATAGTGCCTCTGTCATTTCATTTGCTCACTGTCTGAGTAATCGATCGGTATGCATTTCACCGTGGAAATTTGCTCGAACATCGTTTCCAAGTGATCTCTAAGCTCAGCTTTCAGCATTATAGTTGACTCTTTTCTGCCATTTGACTGGTAAAAATTCAGAATTGCAAGGCAACCACCAAAACGCCTCATATATCCAGAAAAAATGACCCCTCTTTCTTCTCCGTTTGCTGTTAGATTTGGGTCTATTGGAATTTTTTAGTCTCAAAGAACCCCTGTTGAAACTTTGAACATAATATCATATTTATGTGCACTCGCTGCATCATAAAGCAAACAATATGATTATAAATCTTTATGATGAGCACATCAATCATTATCAGAATCGACTACATTTGAAAATGATAACACTGATAAAAAGTGTATTATAGTTTGCAATGATTCGATCACAGTACTGTTCGTATTTATTGCGCTGCTCAGTATCTTATCTCATTTCTCCTCATTGTTCAATGACAACCAGGCAAATCAAATTTTTCAGTCGAAAAATTTCATCGCTTCGTTCAATTTCGCCTGCATACCATTCCTCAATCGTATTCATTCAGTCCATTTGCTCATTGAACTAAGGGTGGTCTCGAAGAAAACATCCACTTTACAGCATTCAAAAGTGGTGATTCTTCCATGGTTTCAAACATACGTTGAATAATTTTCATAGCTGAACAAAATCTAGGTTATCTGTCGAGTTACCTAGTTAGCAAGCTAAAAATGTCTACGTGCTTCATACCTTAAATTGTACGATTGTACTGAGTTAGAAATCGTAGCATTGCTCCAGTTTGTCCTTGTAGATGATGTCGTTTCCAAAGTGATACTACCCAAGGAGTTGTTTTTCACAATCACTTTAATCATGTCTGAGTTTTTTGAAGGTTTCTGCAGTGATGATCACTTCAATGTGGGAACTTTGGTTAGGGGTATTTGTGGTCTACGTCGGATTTACTTTAGCGCATCGTTCCGCATTTCCATTCGATCCTGTCGCAAAATCAGTACAACAAAATGATGTGAACGCAGCAGACCATCCATGGATAACAGATCATTTCGATGTTCCAATTGACAATTTTGCGTACACCAGCAATGCGACTTACTCAATGAGGTTGGTATGCATCATGCAAAATTATCATCTCACATCATCGAAATGATTTTGTTCAAAATATGGAAAGAGTTATGAGACAATCAGTTGAAGACGAGCTGATATTGGTGAGACAGTGATATTTTAGCTCAAATGTGACCAATCATTTGATTTCCAGCCAACAGGAATTGCTTAATCGCACTTGGTTGCGATTGGACAACATGACTTGAACGTAAATCGTTCAGCTTACATCGTACTCGATAACAAGGAGACTTAATTTTTGATGAACTTCAGATACTTGTATAATAATACGTACTATAAGAAAGGAGGACCGATATTTTTTTACGCTGGCAATGAAGGTGCTATCGAAGGATTTGCTATGAACACCGTAATTCTTTCGTTACTTTCAACAGCATTTAATGCTAACATTCAAAGAATGTTGTGGCTAAAAAATGTTGAATTAAAAGATGCTTCTGTTCTGAGCAGATGGCAAAATGTTAATCGCTATCGCACCATGTCTCCAGTTAAAGATGAAAGACAGTCGCGTTTCAAGTCTCAATCCCAATAGTTTCGAATTTTGAATAAACTCGTAATGTTATCAGCAATGCGATCATAATGTGAAAGTCAAGCGTCGTCACTGAAAAATTCGAACTCCCCTTTCATTAATATGAGTACGATTATAAGAGTGCATCCAGTAGATTAAATAGCTGCATTTATTGAGGCATAAAAAAGATACTTAATGAAAACCA